ATCTTATACCCTGCCACTTTGCTGAATCTTCCAATGAGGTCTAGTAGCTTTTTTACTGAGTCTTTGGGGTTTTCTACGTGTAGGATCATATCGTCTGCAAATAGGGAGAGTTTTACTTCCTCTTTGCCTATTCAGATGCCTTTAATTTCCCTGTCTTGCCGTATTGTTCTTGCTAAGACTTCCAGCACAATATTGAATAGAAGGGGTGACAAAGGGCATCCTTGTCTGTTTCCTGTTTGCAAAGGGAAGGCTTTCAGTTTCTTTCCATTGAGAGCAATGTAAGCTGTTGGTTTTGTATATATGCTCTTTATTATGTTGAGGAATTTCCCTTCAATTCCTATTTTGTTGAGTGATTTTACAATTTACAGGTGTAGTTTCACGCTAAAAGTCATGGTTTCCTTTCATTTCTCTTAGAAGTTAAACTTTGCTTAGAAAACAGCTTGTTCTGTTTAAAGACAAAAGAATTTCTCCTAGGAGAATATAAATCACATTCTGCCTTCCATAGCTGCCTAAAAAAGAATGAAAGAAAGAAAAGAAAAATCCCCATTGTATCTACTTTGCACCCAAGGGAGCTGAATTGACTAGGGAAGGACAATAGAACAATTTATTTAATGAAGAGCTCAGATTCAACCCCAGAGACTCTGGCAACTTTAAACATGTCCTCATTGCCCTTCACCCAGTGAATATTTGATTCTAGTCTAGGTGAAAAACAAGTTGGTCTTTCCAAAGACTGAGCATGGAGAAGAAAAACAGCCACAATGATATCATCAGAAAGAGTTACTGTGTGTTATTCAAGCCCTGTTGAGTATGAAGGAAAAGACAAGGAAAAGGGTGTACTGAGCCTCAGGTCTCTGGTAGGAGACTGAAACATCCCACATTTGCTTAGAAAGTTCACTCTTTGTATTTGAATGGGATTTTAGTTTCCATTATGACCAGGCTTTTCTAGCTCTCCTTTCTAGTTCTTCTTTGGCTGGCTATATCCTAGAGCTTCTTTCCAAGAACTGTTGCAAATGACCATTTCTTGAATGTGTTCTTTTCTAGAAAACCACTGATTTGACTACTTTTGAAAATTCATCTCATCTCTTTCACCAAATATCACTTTTTCAGTATGTCTTATAAATTGTAGATTGCTGTTCAATTTCTTACATCCAGTGATCAATCCATTAAGTACTTGATGGACTTCTACTACAGAGGAGGTCATTATGAATCAGAACTGACTTGACAGCTCTTAACAACAAGTTATCTATTTTGTTCCTAATATGATTAGGACTTTTATTTTCTCCCATATCCCCAAATTATTTTCAAAATGAGGCTATTGAAAATACCATAAATCAGATAAGGTGCAGTTTAGTCCTCAAACTGACGGCTCTGTTCTTGAACACTTTAAAGGGGTCTTCTGCAACAGATATGCGTAATTTAATACATCATTTGATTTCTTGAATGCTGCTTCCATGAGTGTTGATAGTAGATTCAAAAACATGAAATCTTTGACAATATAAATCTTTTCTCCATTTATAACGATGTTTACTCATTGTGCCTATAGTGAGGATTTTTGCAATTTACATGTGAAAATTGGAAAATGAATAAGGAAGATCATAGAAGAATTGATGCATTTGAGTTATGCTGTTGGAAGAGAATTATTAAAAGTACAATGGACTTCCAGAACAGCAAAGCTGTGTTAGAAGACATAGAGTCAGAATGCTCCTTGGGAGACAAGATGGTGAAACTTTATGTCAGGTGACTCTTTGTTAAATATGGCTTTTGCTTTTTTTTTTCCTTAGCAGACACACCAACTACATGGAAACAGAAAACCAAACAAAAGTTTCAGAATTCCTTCTTATGGGCCTCTCAGACAATCCTGAACTTCAGCCCTTATTCTTCGGACTTTTCTTATCTATGGACCTGATCACTGTGCTTGGGAACCTGTTCATCATCCTGGCTGTCAGCTCTGACCCCCACCTCCACACACCCATGTACTTTTTCCTCTCTAACCTGTCTTTTGTTGATATCTGTTTCATTACCACTACTGTCCCAAAGATGCTGGTGAACATCCAGACACAGAGTAAAGGTATTTCCTACATAGGATGTCTCACTCAGGTATATTTTTTCATTATTTTTGCTGGCCTGGACAATTTTCTTCTGACTGTGATGGCCTATGATCGGTTTGTGGCCATATGTCACCCCCTACAGTACACGGTCGTCATGAATCCCAGGTTCTGTGGCTTGTTGGTTCTGATATGTTGGGTCATCATTTTCTGGGTCTCCCTACTTCATATTCTATTAATGAAGCGACTAAAGTTCTGTATAGGCACTGAAATTCCACATTTCTTTTGTGAACTGGCTCAGATGATCAAAGTGGCTTGCTCTGATGCCCTCATCAATAATATCATTTTGTATGTGGCAACTACCCTGCTGGCTGTATTTCCTCTCATTGGGATCCTCTTCTCTTATTCTCAGATTATCTCTTCCTTAATAAGAATGACCTCTGCTGCGGGCAAGTATAAAGCATTTTCTACCTGTGGTTCTCACCTCTCTGTGGTCTCCTTGTTCTATGGGACAGGCCTTGGGGTCTACCTCAGTTCTACTCTGACTCATTCTTCCCAGAGAAGCTCTATTGCCTCAGTGATGTACACTGTGGTCACACCCATGCTGAATCCCTTCATCTACAGTTTAAGGAACAAGGATGTGAAGGGAGCCCTGGGAAAGCTCCTCTGTAGAGCAATCTCTTCTCCATGATGGTCACTGGTCTAAGGTAAAACCTATTTTATGGTGTCCAAAGTAAAATTTCATGATTGTACATATCCTAATTCTTTAATCTTCTCTACTGTGTTATAATTGTTTTGTGCTGTGGAGTCTGTTCTGAATCATAGCAACCATTTAGAGTTTCTGAGGAGTGGCTGTTGAGTTAGAACCACAGACCTTGCAATTCAAACTGATCTTGCAATCCAGTGCTTATCCTAGAGTGCCACACTAAGACAAAGTAACTATAGATATCTACTAGAGAAGACTACTAGTACATGTTATTGTGGCATTTTTCCTTTACTATTCTCTCAAACATTGAAATTCTTCTTTACTTTATGCTGTCTAAAGTCTTTCTTTGGTCAATCTCCTTAGCACCATTCCTAAAATCCTAACATTAGAATTATAGCATTTATTATATTAAGTGCTTGCATGATTTCCACAAAGGTTAATCTCTAAAACATTGATGTTCTTTATCTTACTTTGATTATGTATGCATTTTCCTCATCAATTAAACTAAAATCACACCATAGTCATAAGCATATGCTTGACACTAATAGCTGTTCTCATTGTTTTACATATGATTTCATTTAATCATATTTCTTTGAGATATATTCTCATTCACGCCATTTTTCAGAGGAAGACACTGAGATTGAGATGAATTCAAATGTGATGCTGTAGGATAAGCACTGGACTGCTAACCACAAAGTCAGTAGCTCAAATCCCCAAGCCCATCCTTGGAAACCCAATACATGGTCTCCACAAGTTGGAACCAAGTTGATGGCACTTAAAAACACAATGACATCGTTAAGTTCATACTTGTAATTTTGCTATCCTAGTTTTCAGAACTTCAAGGGTAGGAAAGTAGATTTGATAGATTTTGTTTGTGTGTTTCGATTCCCAGAGGTTTCATAGTAATATACTGCCTAGCTTTATTTGAGATGAATCATTCTTTGTGTTCTTTGCTTCTTTTTTTCTTCCCTTTCTCCTTTCTTTGCTTTCTCTCTTTTCTTCTTTTATTTTACCTTTATGTTTATTCATTGCAGTTTTAACATGTAGTCCTGCAAGATCCTAATACATGCAGTAATGAATATATAGAATATGAATTGTTCTGTCATATAGTTTAGTTTTCTGGTATTCTTTGGAGGTACCATCTGGAATGGTAGTTACAGACTATGGCATGCATTCAGAACTTCCCATTGTTGAAAGAATATTGGTAGAATAAGCCTTCCCAGTGAGTATTGAGTAGCAGATACTGTCAATGCTACCCCATATTTCCTGGGATCCTCTCACTATCTTCACAGGCGAGTGTAACTAACAACGAACAGCACCAGCCAGAAACTATTATGCACATTGCATAGCAGCAGAAGTGACTTAGAATTTTTTACCTCCAGGAGCAGTTCTTCATTTAGAGACTTGGGATACACCCTCTAACCTGGGATAGCTGTGAGATATGGGTTTTACACATTTTCCAAAAATTTCCCACAGGATGAAAACTCACTGTGGTAGTCAAATCAGTGAAAATTCTATTGGAGATATTGTTATATTTTGGGTCAGTTCTCCTCTTTCCAAGCCATATTCCCTGGTCCTTCAATAAATTGCTTGAACTGAAATACTTGGCTCTGTGTCTGTTTCTAGAAGAATCAAAGAGAGACAGTTGGTAGAGACTGTGAGAAGTATTAAGAGAGTTATGTAAGGAAGAAGGGCTATTGAGGCAAAATAAAATTCACAAATGAAGAAATAGTTTACTGAAAATCATAATTTATTCATGAGAATAAGTTTCTCAATGTACTTTAATTCTATTGAATTTAATCAAACTTGTATATATTATGGAGCTTTGGTAGTGTAGTGGTTACAAATTGGGTTACGAGCCTAAAGTTCAGCAGTTCAAAATTACCAGCTGTTCTGTGGGAGAAAGATGAGGCTTTCTGCTCCTGTAAAGATTTACAGCCTCAGAAACCCTACACAGTGTCACTATGAGTCACAAGCAACTCCATGGCATGTAACAACAACTATATATATATATATTACTCCTGGAGTCCTGGTGTGGCACTGCAGATTAATGCATCAGACTGCAAAGTCATGTGAACTGCAAGGTCAGTTGTTCAAGTTCATCAAGTGCTCCTTGGAAGCCCTATACAGGGTTGCTATGGGTTGGAATCAACACCATGGCACTTAACAACAACATATACTCCTGGTGTGGCACCATAGTATCAGCACTGGACTGCAAGTCACAAAGTCGGCAGTTCAAATGTGCCAGCTGCTACTTGGAAACCCTATACAGGGTCATTATGAGTTAGAACCGACTTGACAGCACATAACAACTACTCTCTCTCTCTATGTATATATATACATAGAGAGAGAGAGTGAGAGAGAGAAACAGACTGACTGACAGACAGACAGACATATAAACCAAATGGAAGAAATGAGGCAGTACAAGAGCTGAACAGAAAATTTCAAAGGTCAGCTCAAGAAGATAAAGCCAAATATTACAACGAAATGTGCCAAGATCTAGAGTCAGAAAACAAAAAAAGAAGAACACACTTAGCATTTCTCAAGCTAGGGGAACTGAAGAAAAAAATAAAGCCTTGACTTTCATTATTAAAGGATTCTATGGACAAATTATTGAATGATGCAGAAAGCATCAAAAGAAGATGGAAGGAACTTCCAGTTTTGGAGGCGTGAGAAGCAGATTCAGGTAGGACAAGCTCTATAGGGGAACTGCCAAAAATCCAGAGAAGGTGCTTTCATGGAGCTGCTCCAGAGCTCTGGATCTGGTATAAGGTGCAGGGTTTCAGTTTACCATACACACCGGTGGAAAAATCACTATGTAATGGAAAATATTGCAATTCTGGAATCGATCAGGACTCAGGACTCTGCCTGTGGAGCACTTCCGCCCTGGCTGTGTTCAAAGAATGGAGTCATAGTCAATGACACAGTGAAACCCGTGAAGTGACATTTGAAAAAAGAGGAGTGGGGGATTCTACATATTTTTCCTCCTCTTCCCTGTCATGCCCTCTCTGCCCAACCCAGCCACCTTCAGTTGAGGAGGCATGCACCCTCAAAAGGTTCCAGCATCTAGTACACAATTTTTCCACAGCACAGAAAGGAGGAGCCCCATTGGTTCCGTGGGCTGTCTTTCTGGTGGCTGCTTGGACATCTGATCTGGGACTCAGCCTTAAAGTTAATCTAGGTGGGACCCTTCACTCCTGCCTATGCAGTAAGAAAAAAGTAGGACTGGCCATACAGACAAACCATATGAACACTCTGTAAAACCCCTACATAAAAAGCAAGAGCCAGCACCAACTACTACACACAGATGCAGCTATTTCAAGAATTATGCTATCCACACGCAGATACGTAACTGACCTTCAGAAAGTAAAACTAGTGGACAATCTTTCTCCCATTAACTTCTCAATATCTATCTGTGAACCTCCACAGTGGTGACTAGAAGAGGGGCCTCAGTGAGTGGACACCCTCACCCACTGCTGGAGGTTTCTTCTATGCATGCACACTGATCTGTACAACTAAGGCCACTGGTCAGAGAGCTATTGTTTCATTTTGTTTTATTTTAGAATGGTGGTTTATGTCTCTGCTTTTATATCGCTTCTGTTTTGGTCCTTTAGATCCCAGTTGTTGTTTTTTCCTGGGGATGGGAGTTTTTCTCCCTTCATTGCCCAAGAAGAGAGAGCAATCATGGCTATACAGCCAAGCTACAATCATACCCCATAATATTGCACCATTGGGACAGGAGACAATACCAGCTACTAGGCATTACACACAAAAAGGGAAGCCTATCTCCAGATCATAGCCACCAAGAGACACTCATTAAGCTTAACAACACAGCAACATACATCCATTTAAGCATTAAAAATCCACCTAACTACTGAAAATGTCTGGGAAAACACAACAAAAGATCTCAAAATAGAAAACAGTAACTGAGACAAATGAACTGGAGGCAGACACAGACTTTCCAGTAGAAGAGCAGACTTTGGATCTGCCTGAGAAGGAATTCAGAAGAATGATATGAAAACAAATTCAAATGCTCCAAAAAGGGGTGGAGGAAAATAAGGGAGAAGTCAGGAAAGTGCTAGAGGAATAATGAAAGATTTTCAAAACAGCATTGGAAACTATTCAAAACCTGTAAAAAGAGGTCCAGATAATTAATAATAAAATATCAGAAATGGACAATACACTGAAAGGGCAAACGAGTAGAATTGAAGAAATGGAAGCCAGAACCAGCAAGCTGTAAGACAAATCTCTCAATACTGCTAAGATAGTAGAGCAACCAAAAGAAAGCATTAAACAAATCTGAAGAGCGCCTAAGTAAGATTCATGCTGTATACCACAAAGAGGAAAAGCTTAATAATAATTGGCATCTCAGAACAGGATGAATCACAGAAGTCCACAGGGGAGATATGTTGGGGAACTACTGGAAGAAAATTTCCTTAACATCTTGAAGGATGAGAAGATAAACATTCAAGAAGCTGAACAAACTCCAGGAAGGATAGCCCCCAAAAGAAAATCACCAAGACATATCATAATCAAGCTCTCCAAAGTCAAAGACAAGGAGAGCATCCTAAAAGCAGCCAGGAAAAAGAGAAGTGTTACCTACAAAGGCAAGCAAATCAGATTAAGCTCTGAAGTCTCAGCAGAAACCATGCAGGCAAGGCAATGGGGAGACATATATAAAATCCTAAAAAAAGCAATAACAAACCTGCAAACCAAGAATTGTCTATCCAGCAAAACTGTTAATCAAATACAATGGTGCAATCAAAACATTCTGGGATAAACAGAAGCAAAGAGTTTGTCAAAGCCAATCCAGTGCTTCAAACCATCCTAAAGGGAGTTTTTTGAAATGAAAATCAGCAAGAACAGAGAACAACCAGAGATTGACAGATGTTTCAACACCACCTGGAACTCAGTCAAGAGATGAAGTTCAGAAAGGAACAAACTACATCAATGAATTCAGAGGACCTGGGAGGCCAACCAAAGAT